CTCATGTAGGACATTGTTGTGGGATCCAGGCCCTCAGCTGGATTCCTTGGTCTTAGTGTGTGGACAGATTTCCTGCACTCTTTTGTATACTGTTCTTGGGTGACTTATAAATAATCATATTAAGTATGTGTCCTGTATTATATTGTTCCCCTTGCAAAATAAGCCCCAAACTGCCACACTAAGAAAAGAAATGTTTATATCTTTATCAAATATTTAATGAATCTGTATCTGCCTTGTATAATTTGCTGAGGACATATGCTAGTTGTGGTCCTTAAAAGACTAAGTCTAGGACAGGGTTTTTGAGTCCTGGTACCGAGACATTTTGGGTACGATATTTTATGACTGTTTGGGGGAGGGGGCAGAGTTGTCCTGGGTGGCAGAAGACAGTAGGCAGCACCTTCCCTCTGTGCACCAGATGCCACTGGGAATCCCCTCTCCTCTTCCCAGCTATGACACCAGAGTTTCTTCAGATATTGCCAAAAGTCACCAGAGGGGTAAAGGTGCCCACTAGTTGAGAACCACTAGTGTGGGGAAGTAGACAATTTATACAATACCTGTGAGATAAGTGTTACTACCAAAACTTTGGGAGCAGAGAAGAAGGTTCCTTAATCTTAGGAAAGTGGGAGAGGATACCATAGAAAATTTTATAGAATAAATGACTTTTCATGCTCAGTATCTGAAAAATATTTAGTATTAGGTTAAACACATGAAAACAGGGACAATTAGGGTCCTAGCAGGGGAGCAGGAAAAGAGTGAGGAAAGAAAGTTCATTCAGGCAGAGACAAGGAGATGAACAAAGGCCTGGAGGAAAAAGACCACAGAATATTCAGGCAATGAAGGATACTTTGCAAGGGGAGGACAGAAATAAGACAGGGGCCAGATCATGCTAAGTAAGAAAGGAACTTAAACTTTAATATAAAGAAGCAAATATATATTTTAAACTTTTTGTGCTCAAGATTAAACCCAGGGCTTTGTGTATGGTACATATGAGCTCTATCACTGAACTGCACCTCAGGCTCCAACTATATATTTAAAACATAGCGAGCCCTTTCACAAACAAAACCTCACCTTAGTCCACAGTACTCTAAACTGATCAAAGCAAACTGCTCTGTCTGGATCATGGCCCACTCAGTGTCCCCCAGTTTCTAAGACAGCTCCTTGAAGCATACCTGGGAGAACCTTAGAACTCTGGGACATGGGCTGGAAAAAGCACTGCTGCAGGCAACACAGCACCACTGGAAAATCTGGGTACAGAATTTGTTTTTCAGAAAAAGCTCCCTAGTGGCAGAGATGAATATGGAGAAGGGACAACAGGGAAAGCCGCAAGGCACAGAGATCAGTCAGCATTCACACCTGGGTTTCACTTGGGGAAAATTCACAGGGAAAAGCACACTGGCTTTGGGGTCATGCAAATCCAGTTTAAAATTCCTTGTGTGTTAGGTGGACCTTGGGCACATCATTTGCTAAACTCTATTTTCTTATTCTGTAAAATGGGGCTGCCTACATCACTTCGATCAGTACAAAAAGTATGGAAGCTGAGGGCAAGTACTGGGTCCTGGCAGAGAGGCACTCAGCAAACACAAATGTGTCTCTTTCACTGAGTCTCTTTATGACTCAGTGGAACAGACTGCTAATGGAGTTTCTAGTTGGTATAGAATAGATAACAGAGTTGTTTTATAAAAAGATTTTTTTGAGTGACTTCTATGTTCTCTGGAGTGAACCACACACTACAGAGAGGTCAGTATTTGCCTTCTTACTTTGGGATCTGCCAGGATGTCTTGTAAGACAGAGATCTACAAGAGTATATAAAACTTAAGCACTCCATGTGTCTCTGGCTCAGAAACAGTGTCTCTATTCTTTTTTAGTTTAGTGAATCCTATATCCGTTCTGTGGTTGGGATGTCAGCAGTTAAAAACTTGATCTGTATATAAATCTTCCAGATCAAGTTGTGTTGGAATCACAAAGCTTGGATTATACAAGCCAAGTTGCAAATCCAAGTTTCCCTCTATGCTTTCCCATCTTATATCACTAAGAACTTCTTCATTTGTGAATATTTATACCTCTCTTGGAGAAAATAATCTGTTTTCTCTTGTCGTTCTCTGTTTATCATCACAGTGGTAATATACTGTCAGTTAAGAGAAATATTCCCTATAGCAGGATGAACAGTACAGGGCCTTGGGACATAACTGGGTGGAGAATTAGTCCCAGAGCAGGCAGAGTTCAGCTGAAGCACTTGAAGGTCACAAGAAGTGTCTGTAACTAAGTATACTATGCCAGAAGTCTCATAGAGAGACTTCTCACAGAGCCACACCATGTCCCACCTCTGAACAGCTTGAGCAGCAATGACGTGACGATCTCAGCAGGCTTACCTCTGGACAAGGGTTCCAAAGACAAGACGAAGACATTTCTGCATGTTTTCAGTACATAGCCATTTCCACTGCTGCATTAAGAGCAGGAGGATTAGATCCAGGGCTGTGTCAGCTAACTCTGTCTCTGTTCCTAGGGGACAAAAAGCATCACAGGTAACTCAGGAGAAAGCCCCATGTGAAGAGCGTCCTTCAGGGCCCTGGGTGGAAGCTGAGAGACCTGGGTGGTCTCTTCCATCTTAGTGTGGGTCATCATATACTTTTATAATTCCTCTGCACTGAAATCGGGAGATATGTACTTGTATCTTAGAAGTACAGTGATTGGCTCTGCAGGTCTTCACAATTCGTTTGTTTATGTCCCCGTACTGTTCCCTAGTGTCTTTTAAAAAGATTTTACATATAATTATTTTATTTACCTAGCTTCTATTTCTCTTCTACTTCCCCAGCATGCTGAATTCATTCTGTTCCAAGTAAGAGCTCACAACTGATGACTAACTGGAACTGGCAAGGCTTTGTCCCTCCACCCTTGCCTTCCACTCGCCCCCATACTGTATCACGGAAATGTTGTGGGCAGATGTGGGAAAGATTTGGGCTACATTCTCCTGTGAAACCATCTCCATTACACATACCCGTGGGGTTGAGACTCAAGAGGCTGAAGCTTGATTCTGAGATAACATGTGGTTCAAGGAAAAGCACCACACCTCTGAAAAAATGCCATGGCATTTACTGGTTTTGTCCCTGTTTTGAAGATCTGAAGGGCCATAAATAAGCTCATTTTCATGCTAAGCTGGAGTTTCTTGAACATGTGTGTTCTATGGACAGAAGCATCTATTCTTTAAACTTGTGCCACATTGGCTGGATGTGTCCATTTCACTTCTGATTTGCTTCCCTGGAAACTTCCCCAGGAGTATATAATATTCCACAATGATTCTAAGATGCCTGGTCTTACTGCTGTGTTTAATATTATAACTAAACAACATCTCTGTTAGTCCAAGTCTCATGGGTGTTCTCTCATCCAGTTTGCCCAAGTTTTCATCCTTTAGAACAAGACTGCCTTCTGATCTGCATGGATGTGCTAGAAATGAATTCCACTTCCCTCTAAACAGATCTAAAGCATATTTCCTCTACTTATACTGTATCCAAGGGTCTTGGGAGCTGATGAACTGCTTTCTTCATATTTGCTCAAAGATGGGCTGTCCTGCTCCTTGAGAAATAGCATCCTCCTCATTGCAATTATTTCCTCAGGTTAAGCATTTGCCTGAAGCTGCCACCATGTGGCAACATTTAGTCATAGCAGTAAAAAAAAAAAATCAGAAAGTAAAGTACAGCTAAGTTGTCTTTAAGCAAATTTCTTTCATAGGAGCACTCTGAATCTTTCAGGCTAGAAGAAAGAAAGGCTTAGGCATAAACTCTCCCTTTAGAGATACGATACTTAAAATTTGTAGTTTTGATTTGGTGTGGAATATTATTTTGGTCATTCTTGTTATTTATGATGAGTTCTGTGATGCTTTTTCTGTCATACCACCTGCTTTATGTGGCTAGTGAGATGCACCTACAAACCCTACCTGTCATGTAATTAAATTGAGGCCAAAGAGCGGAGGTCAGATGATCTGTTCGTAGGCCCCAAGAGACAACAGTGAAGTTGGCTTTTCTTGTTGATGTAGCCTTTTATTTCCAACAGAGGTCTCTGTCTTGGTGGAATCCAAGACTTTTCCTCTTTGACATTTTAGTTCAGCAATCATACTAATTAATATCTAGGGCTCTGAAGTTTTCTGCTGTAGAATACATGTGCCCTTGCTCTCCTGGGAAGCAAACCTGCCGTGCTTCAAGTGCTTACAAGTGGAAAGCAGAATCTGCACTCCTTCCCTCTCCCTGCTCTACTCAGAAGAATGAGGATGGATATCATCTGCCACAGTACAAACTAAAGCAGCGGGAATAGATCCGGGAAGAAGATACATTCTACTTTGAACATGTGTCTCCGTTGCTCTACAGTATCCAACAGACAGGTCTCATTGGTACATATGTGAGAGTAGAAGCCCACAGTGTGGATGGAATTAGCCAGGGAGAACGTGCAAAGAACAAGCAGAGAGCCAAAAGTGAACCTCCACAAGGCTGATAAGGAAAAACAGTGGAGCATGAAGGGGCCACAAAAGACACGAAGAACACCAGGAAACTGGTGTCACAGACAGCGAGGAAAGAAGTTTCCAGCTCCAGACAGTAACGTCATATGTCAAAGTCTGCCAAAATGTCTTACACAAGACACTGGCATTACATGCATGGATCTGTTCCTGCTGGGTAAGAACTACCGGTGCCTGTGGCCTGCTCTGCCGCTTGAGCTGGCGGCGGGGACCATGTCCTCCTCATCTCTGGCCCAGCACCTCTCATGCTGGAGTTCAGCACATGGTCACTCAGCTGAACACAACAGCAATTAAAGCTCCAAAGGCCAGCTCTCCCAAGTCCTTGGCCCCCTCCTTCCTACTTACCTAGATCACTGCTGCCTGGGTCTTGGGCGGGCACTGCTGCGCCTGACAAGCACCTGTCCACATATCCCTTGAGGAATGGTTCTGGGACTTTTGTTGGCTGCATTTCCAGTAATTTTGTCTGCTTTTTAATAAAGGATTCCATTCCAGACATGGACAAGATCTCTGATTCCTAAGGAAATAGCCAGTGGCACATCACATAAAGAAAGCAGGAAGTAAAGAGAGAGCATGGCACTCTAGGTCTCCCCATATCTCACTTGCAAAAGAACTGTGGGCACAGAACCTACTGAATGAGACTACTTCAGGGAAGTTTCTCTTTACCTAAGTTGCAAATCAAACAAACTTGCCATAGCACAATCACTTCTGAACAACTCTTGGTCTTGGTTCTCTTCCAGAAATGGATTGCTCTTCCTGTCACTCATTATCCCACATCTGCTACCCTTATGAAGCCAACTTGACAACTCAAGACTGGTAGAAACTCAAAATCACTCAAAGAAAACATGTTTAACATAAAAATTTGAGACCTAGATGTTAAGGTTTTTGGCAGGACACCAAGTCCCTTCTGACTGTGAAGACTATTTTGACCTTGTATCACTGCAGGATCAATATGCCACTTCTTAACCCTTGTCGTTCTCTGGGCTGCTTGGGTTCTTACCGTCGTGCTTTCCTGGAGACAATAGAGAATCCTGTCGTGTGTTTTTGTCATAGTCAGTGCTGGGGCAATTTTGCTGGATGGGAACCTCAATCTGGACCTGGTATAGAAACAAATGGCAGAAACAGTGTAATTCATGGTTTTGGTCCTTGTACAAAAGCTTGGAAGTACTGACAATACATCAAAGCAAGAACACTCATATTTATTCTTGGGTCCTGACTGTGCTGAGTTGCCAGGAAAGATTGAAATCCTCTGAACAAGGTATATTGTGGCAGATCTTCACAGACAGAGTGCCACTCTTATAGTACGCTCTTATATCTTCAACGTATTCATAAAATGGTTTTTGCTAATAAAATAGGAACCAGTTTGTCATGGTCAAATTCTCATAGGCTAGAAAAGTGGCAAGTACATACTCTGCATGTCAAAAATCTGTTGAAGATTACATAAATGGCATAGACTAAAGATTTCTGTTAGTTGTTGGTACCCGTCTAGGACAACCATTTGTTCTCCTGTGTTCTACATAAAACTGCAGAAAGAATTGCCAGAGATAAAAAAAAGTTTCAAGAATCAAAAGATTCAACAGCACAGGTATCATGGCCATCTTTTAAAACCTTGGTGTAATTTAAAAAGACTAAGCACGGTGAGTCTGGTATTGCTGGCCCTTAACAAGGACAGAGACACAGATCAACAAGGACAATCAGGGCCCCACCGTTCTCTCTCTCTGCTTCTTCATAATGATCCAGATTCACAAGGAATTTCCAGTCAGGCTAAGTGTGGTGCCCCTGCTCTCCACATGTTGGTGTGGAGAGCTGCCAAGGAACAGCTGGAGCCTCAGTGCAGGGAAGAGCAGCAGCAGTCTCACAGTTACTAAAATAGGCTCTGTAGGTTTCCATTCTAGCCCTTTCCTGTTTATTGCTAGTACATGCAATTTCTGAGCCAAGAGTTCCAGAAATGATGGCAAACAGAGAAGTTTTAAGCCTTAATTCTTAATAGGAAAGAAACGTCTCAATTTCCAAGGGATACAGAAAAGAGAACATCCATATTCTAGAGTTTTCCTTCTTGTCACAACTCTGTGGTCACCTGGGGGCCCGGGTCCCATGGTAAGAGCAAGCATTTAGCAGCACTGCCCTGTAGCAGTCTGGCTCCTCTGGTTGAGCATCAAGGAGCCCAGGGGTTCACTCATCTACAAGCAGGTAGATCAGACCTCTCTACTCTCTTTCTCAGCCTGCAAACAGAAGTGAGCTTTGGCTCAGGTTTGGGGATCAACCTGAGAACTGGGGAAAGATTTCTGGGTCACTGGAGGACTTCTCACTTGCCAGCCTTCTTGCTTTCTGTCTGTGGCTTGCTTTCGTTCTCAGCCTCACTCAGCTCCTCCGTGGGGCTCTGGGGCTCAGAGCGAGGAAACGCTGTCTTCAATGTGTCTACAATGGCACTCACCACCATCTGCAGGGGCAGAAGTGCGGGGTCAGTAAGTGCACTCAGTCCCCAGAAGGAAAGCACCAACCTGCAAAGCAATCATCTCACTGTGCTTTATGCAACAAGACAAGCAGGGAGCCAGGCCATCAAGCACAGCCTTATCCATCAGCAAGGTCAAACAGCTGTCAATGACAACAGTCCTCCCTTTCTCTATGGCTATAAAAATCTTCTTGTTACAGAGTAAGACGAACAATGCCATGGAAAAAGGAGCCAAAACAAATTATGAAATAAGTAAAAACCAACCTGGGTGTTTTGTAGGCTGGTGAATGGTTTTCATGTTCAGTTCTTTTCCTTTTTACATAAAAAGGTGATTTCTCGTCATGGAGCAAAGAACTGTTTTTTTCTAGTCAAGTCAAATAATTTCTTTAGGTACAAAAAATAAATTTCACTCAGATCAAAATTAAGGTACTTTGGAGTTAATATAAACTTCGGTACTCGTAAGAGAATGGTCTCTGTTTCTCAAAATGGGAAAATAGCACACAGACATTTGCTTAAAAAAGAAAATATACAAATAAAATCCTTAACTATCAAGAAACAGAAGGAAGCCCTTCCTTTTTTGGGGCCTCTTCCTATGAACACTGCTGGCAGAGAGCTGCACCAAGTCTCTTCTCCCTTGTTCAATGACAGGCTCCCCCAGGAAGTATGATTAGCACATGTAAGACAACGCTGAATGTCATCAAGACCACTGGGAACACCAGGGAGAACAAACTAGGGAAGACACATAGGACTGCATCAACTTGCTCTCTAGGGTCAAGAGCTGTAGTCTGTGGGAGAGTCCAAATGTGGCCCATTTACTTCTGCATCACAGGCACCTAGCACGGTGCCTTAATTCTTAATAGGAAAGAAACATCTCAATTTCCAAGGCACCTAGCACGGTGCCTGCCTCAAAACAGGCATCCAGTAGGGAGACGCTGAAAGAATCAGTGAGAGAACCATCTATGTGGAACTCTGCCGATCTCTTTCTAGTGTTTGTTTTTTCCCATTGCAGCAGAAGTCCCCTGACAGCTGTCCCATGCAGTAGAAGTCCCCTGACATCTGTCCCATGCAGTGGAAGTCCCCTGACATCTGCCCCATGCAGTGGATGTCTCCTGACATCTGTCCCATGCAGTGGATGTCCCTTGACACCTGTCCTATGCAATGGAAGTCCCCTGATGTCTGTCCTATGCAGTGGATGTCCCTTGACATCTGTCTTATGCAGTGGAAGTCCCCTGATATCTGTTCCATACAATGATGTCTCCTGACATCTGTTGTATGTAGTTCCATTTTACCTTGTCCCCCCAGCCCTAGATGAGAAGATGGAGGCCCCTCCTTTTGTGAATGTGCTCCACAGGTGTCCTAACACTGTCATAGGTGCTGACACACCTTTATGAAGAAGGTCCAGTTCTCTGCATTCTGTTCTCCAGCAGAGAATCATCACACCAATCTAAATCTTTTTAGTGTCCTGTCTGTGGGCTCTCCTTTCTGAGTGATCAATGCTGGGAATCATCTGTCCCTCTGAAAGGAATCCCCTGTCCATGAAGGTTCACATGTGCCCTTATACACTGCCACTAGAAGGACAATGTCAGAATTCCTCAAGGAGAGGAGACATGTGTACACTTACAGGGTTAGGGTACTGTGAACTAACAGCTGCTCACTGGGATTTAGCAAGTTGAAGATCCAACCAGTATTTTGCAAAAGGTCTTAAAAGTTCTAGCACATGTTCTGTTGAGTGCTCCCATGTTCTAGCTCCCTTATTTTCCAAGCCCAAACTCAACTCCAACAAACACACCACAATTACAGCAAGAGGCAAAGCTGTGCAGTGGCCTCCCTCCGGGTACCTTGTCTATTCTAGAGACCATGAACGGCTTCTTGACAAAGGCAATGCGAGCATCCGTGTTCAGAGCAAGGAACTCCTGCATCTCCTCACTGTTAGCGATCTCAGGAATGGCACAGAGTTGCTGCGAGAGTAAGACAAGAGGATTTTAAAGGGAAATTTCAGTCCCCAGATCTCTCCACTTTATCTGGGGTATGTGCAGGTCAGAATGAGAACAAAGCTGGAAGGAAGATGCTGACCTTCAGGAATGATTCCAGGAGGCTCTTCCGGGCTTCCACTCTGTCGCTGTCCATGTTTCCAAATGGAAGATCTGGAAAGAGCTTTTTTGGACCCTTTACATCTTTAAAACAAAACAAAGTTCATGCATTAAACATTCACAAAGAACTTCTTCATAAAAAATATAAAGAAAACAATTATTGAATATATTTCACTGGGATTTTTCATTTATTTAACTTTAGGAATTCCAAATATACCTGTAGGGATACAATAAACACAATGCACTCCCATTACTGTTAAGAGAAGCATAACCATGGCTAAAAGTGAGGGCTCTGAAGTCCAGTGGCCCAAGTTCTAAGCTCTACTGTAATAATGACCTTTCTGCAACTTCACTTATTTTCTGTAAAAAGGGGATAATGATACTGTGGTTCCCTGAAAATAAGGCCTAGCCAGAATATAATCAGTCAAGAAAACTAGAGACCAAAAATGCCAGCCTCAGTCAGCCTCTCCTTGCCTTACCTGTCATCATTCTTGCTCAGTGGCTACTCTGTAAGGCAAGTTAAGCAAGAACAGGCTGACTGGGTTTGGCATTTTTGATCTCTAGTTTTCATGGCTGATTATTTTCTGGGTAGGTCTTATTTTTGAGGAGAAAGGGTAGCACATGTCTCATAGGTTGTTACCAGGATTAAACAAGCAGGCTGGGGATTTAGCTCAGCGGCAAAGTGTCTACCTGGCAAGTGCAAGGTTGTGAGTTCAATTCCTGGTACCGGAAGAAAAACAAACAACAACAACAACAAAGGATTAAACAAACTAGCAGGTGTAAAGTACTTAGGAGAGAACCTGTTATGAACAGGCTCACCTCACTATTAGGTGTTATATTAAGATATTAAATGTATAATACATGCCCAACCTACTAAAATGTGTATTTGGGTGATCAGCATTTTTTCAAAACAAAGCAGCCAGTTATTAGCTTATTCTTAACATTAAATTTATTACATTCTCTTTATTTTTTCTGTGCTGTGAATTTCTGGTTATTAAAGGAAAGTGATGAAGATTTCTAGATAACATTGTAATATTTAAGAATGACCAATCTACAGTTCTGAAAAAGTTAATTTAACTGCTTACACTGTCTCATGGATACAGGTAGAAATGTGAATTTTAAACTTAAACTAGGCAGGGCTCCAGAACAAAGGATGACCTCAGAACAAAGGGTGACCTCTGATGACAGGATCACAGCTGTCCATCACTAACCCTCAAAACTTCTAAGCAAGACTTGGGGAAGAGAGAACCCCAGTTCTGCATTCCCTTCCCCACAAACTCCATCAAACATTCCAGTCAGAGTGGTGACAGCTGAGAAGCAAACAGGGAGTGTAGTGCCAGGGCAGGGCAGATACTGACTTTTGATGAACTTCCGTAGATCTGGTTTCTCCTCCAGGCGGGTCTGCAGGTTCAAGAACTCCCGGTAGCGGCGGTTTACAGTGTGGTAGGCCAGTTGCTGCAGGCCACTGCTGCTCTCACTGTTAAGGGCTGTCTCGTACTGTTGAAGGAACAGAATTATTGACCGAATGAGCCAGGTCTAGGAATTCTTCTACTCTGGCTTTAACGACTACTTGCTCAACCGTACACAATAACAGCAGAGTGGAGATAAAGGGAGCGAGATGATGTTCCTGCCCTCTTGCAGAACCTGCTACATCTGAGTGGAATAACTCAAACTCTAAAGGCAGCCGACTTAAACAATCAGATATGCTTTCTGATACACTTGCCCTAAAATGAGTTTCACTGCTCCTATTTCTTCCATCCAAAAGCTCCCTCCCCCAGAGACGTAGCTTTATTTATAAAAACAGCTGTATCACTCTTCTTTAATCTCTAAGATCGAGAGTAAAACAGAAGGCATATCACCTATAAAAAAGACTACATTTCTACCACCTTGAAATTACAGGCTGGACCTTCTAAAAGGAAAAGCATTTTGCCATTAACTCAACCAGTGATGATATCTACTAAAAGTAGGAAGAGCAAACAATTTGAAACAGCAGATGGGCAGAAGTCATTTGTTTGCCTGGAATGAATTAAAGGGCATGTATTTTTGTTTTGCTTTGGGCAGATTAATCTTCCTAATTGTTATGCTTAAAAGTAAACTGTAAGTTTTTCCTAAGTATAGGGTACATAATATTTGTATCACTGGAAGTCACATGACTGGAGATGTTGTACAGCGTCCGAGTCTGCCGCCTCCACAGGCTTGGAGCACTGGTAGTGGGAAAGATGACTTGTACTGTCTGTTCCTGGAGAAGTGAGCAGTCTGGACATATGCAAGGGGAGGCTCAGTACAGGGGAAGTAGCTCAGATACAATGAAAGGCTGTGTGAGAATTATATATCTGCTTACTATTATTAGGAGTAGTTTCCTGTTATTGATTGGCAGAGGTATTGTACTATGGCCAGAGATGGAAACAATTATCTCCTTGTTGGCTGGACTTCAGGCTGGTGTATTAAAATTTTCCAGAGGTAGAGAGAGAGATGTATTCACAATGAGCTGAGGAGGGCTAAGGAGTTTTTCAGACTAGTAAGGAAGGGAAAGACAGACAGGTGGAATCTGGGGGTGGGGGACTCTCAAACTTGGAGAACTTGACAGTTATGACGCTTTCTATGGGTTATTCTGCTCCTTGAGAGTGAATACTTAATTCTCATGTGTTAACTTCCATCATATAAACTGAAGACTCTTTTACTATGAGAAAGTGTAATAATATCAGTATGTAATTTAGAACCATGCCCATATAAAAATCTAAACCCAATGTCAAACTATGCACAACTGGATACATGATTTTGTTATCTATTTTTCATTTACCTTTTTCTTTTTATTAGTATATGTTGGTAGTATTAATGTGATTACATTCATTCTGGGGAGTTGGTACATGTATGTAACACATCTTAATTCCGTTTTTTACTCCCCTCCCCCAATCCCTTGGTGCCCTTACCCTTTGCAAAAAAAATCTATCTCACTGTTTCTTATAATCCACCTTTTATTTTGCTCTTTATTTATATTTTGGGTTTCTCATGATATCATAACGTTATGTGAGATAAATCAGATACATTTCACTCTTTGCTAATGCCAACTTTAAGTAGATAGTGGCTGGTGTCAAAATCTGCAGTAAAAAAGTAACAGATAGAAGGAAAAAGACTATAATTTAAAATTTATCAACTTAATTTTTTTACTAATGAGGAGGAAAAACTGTCATTTAATACAATGTTGGAATATGTTACAAATAGAAGATGAAATAACCAGAAGCCAACACTTACATGTGAGAAAGTTGTAGGTCATCCAGAGTTAGAAGAACAAAAAGGGAGGCAAATGCTAATAAAGATATACCTGTCCTTTGAGGCTAGCCTGAGTTATTCATGACCAGATATCTGTACTTCTAAAATTTACCTATCTTATAAGGAATGACTGTGTGCTGCGTGTGTGTGTGTGTGTGTGTGTGTGTGTATGCATGCGTGCGCATGTGTGCATGTGAGTACAGGTGTTTCTAATTATTTCTATTGCCTTGAAAATGTCACAATGTTCCTTTTTAAAATGTTAGGTCATGTTGCAGCAGATTAGGGAAGGCATTCTCTCTTTTAACTCGATTGGGATTTTCCCAGAAGGAATGCAGTACCCACACCTGTGGCCATGTTTGGATTCAGAATGAAAGAAATTCAAGGGGAAGCCAATTAAAATCCAATAGTGTCTTGCCCAGGAATCCTCTTACCAAAATTGTTCCCTCCTAGTTTCTTTTGTTCTTTTAAAAAATACTAAAATCTTCCATGTCTTGGGAAGGTTTGTCTTTGTCTTGGGAAGGTTTCACATGGTAGAGTAAGTTCCTTATTCCTAGAGAGATGTAAGCACAAATTTGGGAACCGCTTGGCAGAGAAGCTATGGAAAGGGCTGGTTAGATTAGAGCAGCAAATCCTTCAAACTGCCCTCCATACTACCTCCATGTTCTATTTTTAAAAAATATATAGAATCTTCAGTCTTTGAAATTCTCATTTAGAATCTGTCAGTCTGTCAGAATTAGTATATAGTACTTAAAAAGCAGCCCAAGCAATTATGAAATATAGCCAGGTTTAGGAACCATTAAAAGCTACCACCATCAGTATTCTAACAATTCTGAGCTTCTAGGATTGCTTGTGTGGGTAAAGAGTAAAAGTCCACTCTGCTTTACAAATTAATTAGCTTCAGCCCATTCACTCACACATGTTCACAATTATACAGAGCACAGTAAGAGCTGTCTCCCCTGAGAACATTGGCTTCCAGTGCTCCATCCCATTCCCAGCCCAGAGTGGGTGCTCACAACTCTAATCTGCTTACCTTCACAGTATAGAGTGTGTATGGGTGGAATCCAGTGCCACTGTGCTCTCGGGCGGTAATGGTGCCAGTAATACGAAGGTTCTGGATGACAACTGGCCCATCTGGACTGCTCAGGGGCTCAAAGCTGAATGTGCCAGAGCCGAGAGGACCGGGTGGAGAGGAGGAAAGTGAAACCTGTGGTAAAGTAGGATCCAGGGAACTCACGCCATCAGTGAGATCCTTCTCTAAGCACGAGGGTCGTGTGGGGCCAGTCTTTTCTGGTTCTTCCAGCAAAGCTGTAAAAGAGGTGACATCCGGTTCTACCTCCTTGTCCACAGTGTCAATCTGGATTTCTGGGCAGGAGTTTGGCACAGACACCAGCAGACCTGACTCGGTTTCTATCCCTGGACCCTCCTCTGCTTCTCCTCCTTCAATCCCCTCGGATCCCTCATCATCCTTAGGCTCTAGAACCTGAGAATCTTCTAGGGTACACAGGTCATCCTGGATTCTGTCACAGAGGAAGTTGCCTGGGGTCATTAGCATGATAGTTTCTTTACTCAGTTCAGAGAGGGGAGACTCCAGCTCTGAGTCTTCACATAAGAACAAGGGGCCTCGAATATTTGGCTGTAGAAAATGAGATGAGCTGTTTCCTACTTTTCTTTCTTCAAGCATCCCATCCAAATCTGCCTCTAGAGCTTCATGGCCTTCTTCAATCTCAGGGGAGGGGCCTGCTTCACTGGAGTTCAGCACTGTGGCTGCTCCTGGAGAAGGGGCTCTCCCTTCTGGCAGACTCTCCACCTCAAGAATCAGTGGCAGAGATGTGGGCACTGAGGGCTGTTCCTGAGCATCAGGGGTGTAGAGTGGTTTAGCTGCTTGCACAGAATCATTTCTGGCCCTGGAAAAGATACCCACAAGGATAAGGTGTATGCAATCAGGATCTGACAGCTTGTTGATCAGCGGTAAGATTACATTGCAAGTAATGAGTTCGACCACTACATGGCGTCCAGTCCTAGTTTCCAAGTGGGGCTTGGGCACCAGACCTTGAAGCAATAAATTCACAATGCTACGTGTATATGTGACCTCAGCAGTAGGACTGTGCACAGCAGGATGTGGGGCAGTAGCCCGGCAGTACGCCTCCCAGAGCTGGGAGGGCTGAACTGGACCACTCAGCTTCCCTTCAGTGGCCTCCTTTGCCTGAATGTAGCTCTGCAGGTGACAACCACAGAGAGTCAGAACTCTCTGAGCAAGAGCACGGCTGTCCAGCATGCTCATCCTCCTCCGAAGCTCCTGTACCAACCCTTTCATGGCTGCCTCCATCTCTTCCTTAAAAGTTGAGTCCTGGCTCACTGAACCATACCAGGATACCACAAAATCGCGAATAATCATCTGGATAGTGCTGTCAATCTCCAGGTCCAGCTGTTTTTCTGCCTCAGGGCACGGAGTGCAAGTGGCCACTGGGATGAAACGTTCCAGGTGCAGCCGACCCGAAGCCCCCCCAATGATACTGGGGCCCAACCATCCTCCCAGCACTACGAACAAGGCACAGAGAAGGCAGAGAAGCCACACATTGACCAGAAGGTGGATGACCAGGAGCCAACCGAGCAAGACCCCCACAACCATCAGCTTCCGGCTACTCCACAGATTACTGAGGGGACAGGACTCTGCTAGGGTCTCCTGGGTCGGAGGCCCGGTCTCTGACTTCATGGCTGAAAGGAGTTGGGCTTCTCTATATGACAGTCCCTTTTCAATTTTACGTCAGTGGCAAGGAAGGGGGCGTGACCTGTGATGCAGACAGGAGGGAATCTGGGCTTCCGTGCAGAGATCCCACCGAGCAGGGCTAGTACAGGCACTACGAAGCGACGGGGGCAGTCCTGTTTCTCGGGCCGCCGTCACTACAGCCCTCCAGCTGCCGGTTCCAGCGGGGGAGACGCTGCCCCGGAGCGCAGCGCGGCGGCGTCCGGAGCGCCCGGCCCAGGGCCGCCCCGCGGGCTCGGAGGGCGGTGCTGACACACTACGCTCGCGGTCAGCGGCGGCCGGGGTCGGAGCGCACGTCGCCGGGGGCTGCGCGCCCAGCTGAGCCTGGACCGGACTCATTGGGGCCCCTGCCCATGGCCTCGGCCCGCGGCGACGCAGGTTCAGGCGGCCAGGCCGCCCTAACTCCCCAAGGCCTGCCGCCCGCGGTCCGCCAGGGACTGCTTCCGGGTCGCGGGTACGGGGCACGCTGGGAGGGCGGCCGAGAGTCAAGAGCGGCCCTGCTGGCGCCCTCTAGTGGCGAGTAGTCGTGGAGACGCCGTGAGCGCTGGGGTCTCTTAGCCTGAGCCTGTGCTTTCAAGGTCTGGCCTGGATTCCCAAAGTGCAGCCCAACTGAGTACGGCCTTGCAGCAAGATCTGCACACTCGGATTTCAGCTCCAGCACCTTTAGTGTACTCTAGCTCTAATTATTAAATGTGGTCTACCAGCGTCCCTTACAACTTGGACAAAGTGATCCAATTTATTTTAATCACACGGGGGCATGTTTTCTTTGGCCTGATAGATTTTAGCATTCACAAGCTCGCTCCAAGCACCCACCCCCATTCCCAGTTCACAGCCCATCTTACATGTTCTCAGCAGTGGCAAACTCCAAGTCATAAAGCATAGTACAGAGACAAATTTATTCCTGAGACTTCATAGACTGTATCGTAAAATCAGGTGTGAGGTTTGGGGTTATTTACTAACGTTACTACCTGAGCAGTCAAATACTTGGAGCATATGCTGTGCTCAGTCAGTGATGGGTAGCATGGAGGAATGGACGCTGTCCTTGTCTCCAACTCCCTGGAGCTAACTGGGGGAATGCGTGACAAGCACATCAAAGGATATTTAATAAAGCAAGCCTGTACAGGATATAGTAAAAGGCTAAAGCTTATAGGTATTCAGGAGAAGGAAGGATCATTGTGAGTTGCAGTGGTTACATGGACCCGATAGAAAAAGTAGCCTTTATTCTGTTCCTGAAGAATGAGGGTTTCTTTCTATCCATCTTTCTTTTTTCCTCTCTCCTCATAAATGCACAGGAAAGGAAGGCAGAGGTGGAGATGTGTTTTCACATAACTTGTAGTATATGTGGTTTGTTCTCCATATTTGATTGTTTTGAGGTTTAGGACTACACAAACAGCATCACCTATAGGAAGATTAAATGTCTGACAATAGAGCTGATAATGTGTACAAGCATTTGTGTCCTATGATGTGAAGCCAGCTTCTTTTCTCCCCCACCGTGGTCCTAGGAATTCTGTTTGCAATGCAGCAATTCTTTTCATATTAGCACAGTTGTTTGCATACAGCGGCTCCCAGTTGCCTGTCCTCAGCATACTCTATGCCTTTAGCAGCCTTTGTCATTATAGCACCCCATCATAGAGGGCTAAAGGAATTTTTGGGCAAATTCTACCTAAAAACTGTGCCAATGGCAAGCATATTGCAGCTTCTTCTGTCATCTCAGTTTCTACTCTTGGTTCGAAGATCTGTTTTTAATGCAAAATGAGCCATCAGTTAGATGTTTAGACTACTTTTAAAGCATACAGTGCAATTTAGGATTGAAGTGTCTGGTAAGCAGATGGGCAACATCGCTGAAATTCCAGAATGCCAGGTCATATTTGTACTGCGCACTCCACAGCTACTCAGTTCTCCACATGAAAGGATCATAAGAAGTGGACACTGTCCCTTTTTGTCCTTGCAGACCATTCTGTTGTTCTCAGAAACAGTTAGGACAGCAGTGCCCTACAAAAATATTCCCACCACCTAGTGGGGAACTAAAACACACGAATAAATTATGAGGGAACTAAGGATACTGTGAAAGACCTCTTTTATGGCAGCTCAGAGAGAAAGTTTACACTGATGCAAGATCTGTAATATTCAGGGCAGTAGGGACTGACCTTGTAAGTGGGCGCGATGCCACCTGACCAGATGGTTGGGAGCGCTGAGGTAGCCAAGAGTGTCTTCCTGATTCTGAAGCAGATTTGATGGACATGCCGATGCACTTGTCTTTTGGACGGGTATGAGTTTCTGCCCAGGGGTCTGGGATATTTAATCTCCAAACAGATTAATCACTGGGAGGAGGTGAGTGTCACGACTGATGTGCAGTGGGGTATGTGTGTGTGTGTGTGTGTGTGTGTGTGTGCAGCTGAGTGTGGTGTGGGGAGGCTGTCTGGCCACACCACTCACCTTTTTGTGAGGGCCTGCCTTCTCGTCTTATTTTTCTTAACATTAACAGAATAGTATTAGAGTATTGGGGATAATAAGATAAATAAGGCATCGTTATTCATTTCACCTTGCTTAAAGGCGAGAGGAAACAAAAATGTAATTAAATACCATCTCATGTTTAACGTGACGTGCTATGATTGTTGCAATAGGAGTGTGTGCAATAAAGTGGAAACACAAAGCAGGGATGGTTAACTGGGGGATTGGATGGCTCATAAAAAGTTTACCCATCCATTATAAAATAGAAATGAATTGAGTGTATTTTATGAGCGTGTTGAGGAGAAAGGGCATGGGTAAAGGGAGGGAGGTCCTTTAGGTAGCAGTGTGCAAGAGAGACAGGGACAGAAGAGCAGAGGACACTGGGATAAGAGACCAGGGTATAATCATCTCTGCTGCACTACAATGTGCTCTCAAAAACAGAAGCCATTGTGACTTCCTAAAGAGAGGGTCGGTGGTGGGAAAGGCGAGTGGGGAAGATGTGGTGGCGCACAGTCATTCCTGTGAGGATGGAAGGAGGTGAACGAAGGTCAGATAAAGGAATGCAGAGGGGCTGAGGATTCAGCTGAGGTTACAGATCATCGATTTGTAGTGGCACTGATAGATACTGCTGAGTGATTTTTCTCTTGAGTTTCTTCAGTGTAGGAGAGAAGGAAGCAGGAAGTTTGTCTGTTGCCACTTGGGGAATATCGGGATAGATGAAAAAGATAGATAAATGACAAATGGTTAAGAACTTGATATCCTGAGAAAAGAGGCACTAGCATTAAAAATCATGGTGTCCAAGAAAGGAAAGAAAGCCAGGAGAGATAACGAATTGTGAGACAGGGTTAGAAGCACTGGGGAGAAGGAAAGGAGAGAAAAGAACAAAGGCTTATGATTATGGATTGGTATGTTGGAGCCTGTATTACTATTACTGCGTTATCAAACTGCCACCAACTTAGTGCCTTTCAGAAATACAAATTTATTGCCTTCCCCATCGGAAAGTCTGAAATAGATTGGCAGGTTGTATTCCTTCTGGAGGCCAGAGGGGGACAATCTGTTTTTCTGTTCTTTCCAGCTTCTAGAGGCCACCTGTGTTCTTTGGCTTGTGGCCCCACATTGCTCCAGCCTCTGCTTCTGCTGTCACATCTCTTCCTCCCTCTGAATCTCCTGCCTTCCTTGTATAAGGACCTTTGTGATTACATTGGAGCCCCCTTTATAACCCAGTGTAAACTTCCCCTCTCAAGATCCTTAATGACAGAATCTGATCACTGCCATTCTGAGCTGAACAGAGACCACATGAACCACCCCCCGCTGCTGTGCTTGTGTACCTGCTACAAATGTATAATCATGGGTTGATAAGGCCGAGTAACGGTAGCTGCAATCCATAACTCGCATCATCACTCAGCCCTGCGCTTGACAAGTAACTGCAACTCCCTGTGTAGAATCCACCCCGCTCCATATGCCCATGACCCTATAAAAAACCTTACAGCCTGTATGAAGGTAGCCGGTCTGGTCTCTAGTGCTGGAGTGATCCCTTTCGGGTTTGTTCTGAAATAAACCAGTCCTGTGAGATTGTACCTATTTCTTTTCCTTTATCCTAACACTTAAGACTGTTTGCCAAGTAAAGCGACATATTCATAGGTGTTGGGGATTAGGATGCAGATATTGCTGGAGAGGTGGAACATTATTTGGTCTATACAGAGCCTAAATATCTGGAGATGAAAATGTTCTTTGATGATCGAGTCTGGATGTGGACAAATAATAAGTGACGAAAGTAGGCTATGTATAATATGTTAGAGTTGAGGAAGATATTTTGAGTCTATGGTCTTGAGAACGATGTTCTACCTGGTCTTCAAAGTCATCAATACAGTAAGTCCCCAATTATAAATGAGTTTCATTTCAGGAGGATGTTTATAAGTCAGATTCATTCTTAAGTCCAACCAAGTGGGTCTTATACACCTTTGACACAAATGTACAATATAAAGCATAAAAAACCAAATACAAGGTCTGTTCATATCTGTGAAAGTTCCCAACTGGAATATTTGTAAATTGAGGACCTTCTGCAAAGGGCACAAAGACTGTGATCTTGGTACAAAAGTTCTCAATAAATGAAAATGACAGAAGGCTGACAAATGGTGTAGAGAAGAGTGTGTTAATAGCAACATAGGAAGAGGAAGTTTTGAATAAGTTGAAAATGAGTTATCCGAAAGAGCCCATAAAAATATATGATATTCCCAAGAATATCTCCACATCCTGCCTTAAATAGTGATGGACAATAATCAACCGCCAGAGGGCAGCAAGAAACAGTATTTAAAGAGCCGTGGGGTCTCAATAATTCATTTGTCTACATGTATCCGCATCCATCCATCCCAAGGACTCACCTGAGTATTGGAAATTTAAAGATAGACTTTATCTGGTTTCCATTTTTGAAAAATCCCTGTCTAGTACAAGAGACAGACACTGATGCAATGTAAGAAGTGCTGTAGTACAAATATGTCAGACTATGGAAGTGCAGATAAATAGGGAAATTTGCACAGAAAAAATAAAGATATGACAGGGGAGTTGGCCGTGAAGGATGGATTAAACTTCTCAAGAAGATGAGAGGAACTGGTTATTCTGAGAATGAGGAAAAGACTTGGAATGTTGTGTAAGCTCTTGTGTTAGTGTG